GCCGGGTTAAAGCTTAGCCTTTTTTCATCTCCCCATTCTTTAATGAGGTTTAGCGCCCGGTTTGCATTGTCCTCCAGTTCTTTCCGTGATTTTCCCGTCACTATTAGGGTTACGTCGTCAGCAAATGCCTGAATCGTTATATTGTTTTTGAATCTTTGTTGAAGAAGATCCGCAATAACAACATTGAAAAGAAGTGGACTGAGGGGTGAACCTTGCGGACACCCCTTTACTGAGCCGATAGTAATTTTTTCGCTTTTTGTTAAGTAGGACATTTTGCGGTTTGTCAAAAAGTCTCGAACCAAATTGAAGAGATTTCTGGGGCAGTTGTTTTCTCTTAGTTTGTTAATTACTACTGGGGCCCAGAGCGAGTTGAAGGCTCCCTTGATGTCCAGAGACACCAAGATTGCCCCCTTCCCCTCCCTCTTGACGTCCTCCAGCTTAGTTTTAATTTTGTATAACGCGCTTACTGCAGACTTTCTGTGGGTAAAGCCAAATTGGTTTTCATGAAGTAGTTTTTTAGAGTGTAAGAAATGGTACAGCCTATTGTTAATTAATTGTTCTAATACTTTACCAAAGATGGAGTTCAGACAGATCGGTCTATATCCGGAGGGACTGTCAACCCTATCTGTCTTTTTGAGTAGTATTATTTTTCCTTCTTTCCATTCAGCGGGGAAATAACCAAATTCCAGACACGCGTTGAAAATTTTAAGAATGAGTTCTTTAAAGTTGTTGTAGATTGTTCTCAGAAAAAAGGTTTTGATATTATCAATTCCTGGTGCAGTTGTTAATTTCAATTTAGCCAAAACAGCATCTACCTCTGCTGAAGTGAATGGTATGTCATTGATTGTATTGATATCTTCGAGTGACATGAGACGCACGTTGGTCTCATGTGCCGAGTCGCTGTTTGGGTCATCTTCCTCGAATAGCGTTGTTAGGATAAAACGTACTGTCTCTGCCAGACTTTTCGTCCGAACTCCATCTGGTAACACGAGAGGACAAAGCACTACCGGGCGTTTAAGTTTGTTAAGTGCTATCTTATATGGGAGGGTAAAAACATTATTGCCGTGGATGACACCGCAGAACTCTTTAAAAGAGCTCTGCTTTGCATCCTTCATGTTGCTTTTATAATCTTTGTGCGCTTCATAATAGGATTTCTTAAAGTGATCTCTATTGTTATTTTTGCAATTTTGATATCTGCGCCGAAGCGCCCGAATTTTTTTACGTTCGATAGAAAGTTGTGGGGTCCACCATTTAACTTCATTTGCTCGATAGGTAACTACCTTGGAATATATTTCCGTAAGTTCTTCAATTTTGTCATAAAATGTTCTAATTACATGCTCTAAATGATTTTTGGAAACGAGAGGTCTGCTTGACATGTCCCTAAGCCAGCGGTCTTTTATTAATTTGTCTATAACCTTTATCTCGCCTGTTTTTGTTAGTCTTTTGACTGGGCACCTGTTTCCAAAAGCTGTAATTTTGATGTAGCTGTGGTCGCTGCCTGAAGGAGTGTCCAAAACCTCCCAATCCGAAATGTGTCCTAATGTGTGTCCATTTACAATAGTTAGATCAATCCAACTTTCGCCGTTTGGTGAGGCGAAAGTTGGGGACGAGTTTCTGTCATTGATCCACACTAATTCTAAGCTTATAAAAAGGTCTGCTAATTCCTCTCCTCTCTGGTCTAATCTCTGTCCCCCCCAGCTGGGGTTTTTTGCGTTAAAGTCTCCTAATAATATAAGTTTTTCTGATTTGTGCTGTTCTACAACTTCGGTGATTATTTGCAGCCAAGGTGTTATGTCGTCATCAGGTGGTATATAAACGTTTGCTAGCACAAACGTTTGGTTTTCTGTGTTACAGCGGACCACTAGCAGATCTCTGGCTACGGTAATAGGAAATGCATCGCAAAGGTTATCGTGAATTACCATTGCGACTCTGGGTTTTGTTTCGAATGCTATGACATTATCTTTAATGCTGAATCCCACAACCTTGTTTTTAAGATAATAAGGTTCCTGAATGCAGGTGATGCGTTGTTTAATTTCCATAGTATCTATCTTAAGTTGGTCTATAGCTCTTATACAGTGATTTGCGTTAAACTGCAGCATATCTAGTCTGCTATCCGAGCTGGTCATAGTTAGTGTTTTAAGTTAATGTATGTTCAGCTCAAAAGCGGGAAAAGATAACTATTAAATTAGAGCTATGTACCTATGAATGCTTGGTAAAGGGGCTTTTAGTAGGCTAAATATCGTCGAGCCTGCTGCTCCTTCTCAAGCAGGGCCCTGCATGCCCTCGAACCAAACGAGTGTTCGACGTGAAATCTCGTCTTGAACTTCTCGTTGCTCCGAACGCATGCACGGCACCGCTTCTCAATTGCCCTGCAGTTGGCCCCGGGATGGTCGCCGGAACACTCCGTGCAGGCCGAGGACTGGCCTTTGCACACTTTAGCTGTGTGGCCATAAGTGCAACACTTCGTGCAGCGCCGGACGCCAAGGTTCTCATAAACGGGGCAGGACGTCCATCCGAGATACACCCTCCTCTTTTGGAGGAGGATGTCCCTCGTCTGGGGCCCAACCTCCAGAATATGGACCATGGTGCCCGATGCTGCCCGAAATGAGGCCACGACCTTGTTCTGGTCTTCGGTTGGGAGGTCGTTCATTGAGGTTAGGGTCTCAACTAGGTCCGCAGCTTCCACCCCTGGGTCAACCCCCACAATCTTGACCTGTTGGGCCCTTTTTTCTGAACGCCTAGTGGTAAGTTTAGACGCGGTTTCCGGATTGGCCTTAATGGCCTCCGCGAGGCGGTCTAGTCCGGCCGCGCTGTGACCGAGCACAATAGCCCCACCTCGCACTTGCTTGATCTCGACGCTGCCGAGTCCGAGGTCCGCGGGCTTGAAGGTAGTACGAAGCAGGTGGGAGATCCCTGCGCATGGCTCCACCCCAGCTGCTGGCTTGGTTGCCGGGTAGATCAAAAGGCTCTCCCTGGGGGCTGAGGGTGGCGTTGTTGGCTTGGGGGCCACGGGTGATTCCCCCCCCTGCTGCTGGCCGGCGGGGCTCGGGCTCGAAGTCGCCGGGTTCTGCTGGAGAACCTGCGAGAAGGTGCGGTGCAGGGCGGCAACACTCTCCGGCGTGGGGGAGGGGGCTGCGGGGGCTGGGGCCCTCTCCCTCTCTTCCTTGTACGCTTCCATTTTGGCAGCCAGTGCCGTGTTTTGGTTAATTAGATCCAGCGCAAAACCAAACAGACGGTCGTATGCACCGTGCAGGTTGGCCACGTGGGTCTTACTGGTTTTAGTGCCCACCGCTGGGATTGCCTCACTTATGTCATGGTACATGTCTACCAGAGTTGCGGCGTTTGGGTTAAGTTTGAATTTCATGTCTTTCGCCTGCGCGGCGAGCGTCTCTTGGGTCGGACGGGAATCCCCGTTGCCCTTCTCAGTTACCTCCTCCCCCGGGGGGGAGGCATCGCCAGTAGTGCTGCCCGGCATCTGAGCGTCTCAGATGACGGACAGGCTTGCAAAAGAAACGCCCAAAAGCAAAAATAAAAACAAAACCCAAAGCCCAGCCGAAACACAGTACCAAAATCCCCACCTACTCCTCACGACGAAAGAAAACAGTCTTTTGTGCCAAAAATGGCGCGGACAAAATCACAAAGGGACACCCCTAAAAATAATAGAAAATGGCCTAAAAATGGAAAAAAAAGACCAAACAAACGTACTCTCGCGACCGCGCTACTGCAGCGAGTACCGACCTTAGCCCTACACCGCCATTAGTGTTGAGAAAAAAAAATACTACATGGCGTTTTCGGTCGGAAGAAAAAAGGCGGGAAAAGTGCGCTTGAACAAAAAGCCTATAAATCAGCAAAAAACTGAAATACACAGACTGCACCACCTGGAAAGGGTGGTGCTAGGCTTTTAGTTACACAAGGGACCTAGCTTACCCGTCCAGCTAAGCGGAAAAACCCCCCGAAAAGAAATAAAAAGAAGTTAGCCTGCGTAGTTCAGGTTTCCTTTGTTTGCCCCCTGGCCTAGCAACCCACCACTTCGAAACTCAAAGTAGCAGTAAAAATAAAAGTTTTGGCTCTACAAAAGAAACAAACACACGCTCGTGTTCGCGCAAACGCGAGGAACACGGGCGTTAGATTTATACGTACGGGCGAGCGCTCAAACTCTGAGTTTGGACGCAAAATCAAGTGGCAACCATCTTGATTTTTTTCCCGCTAGGCCTAGCTCACACAAAAATGCTCAGAAATCAAAGAAAATTAACTTTAGAAAAACAAAAACACCTGGAAACTAATCGGTATACCTTTAGATACTAATACCTAACAGAATATACTTCCAGCTAGCCTGGAAATATAAAAATTATACTTAGCTTGGGGAGCTCATTCGATGCACGTCTTGCCCCCTCGGCGCCTAGGGAAGCAGTCCAGTAGATAGGGACAAAATATATAGAGGAGACTTAAAAGAAAAGGGAAATTAAGTCAAGAAAAAACAAAAATAAAATTGCTCCTCCGCCCGCACCACAAAGGTATAGCAGGCATCCTAATATAAAAAATTACTTAAAAAACCCCACCCCCCCCGGGATCTACTGTTTTAGCACAACCACAGCCAAGGGCACCGGCCCAGTCCATCAGCGACGTTTATTAAAAACTAGAAAAGAAAAAAAAAAAAAAAATTCTTTTTTAAATTTCCCCCAGAAGAGAAGCGCGCATGCACCCGCTGTACAGAATGAAAAAGCCTATATATATTGGTTAAATATGATGAAGAGTAAAATAGTGAGCATGCTATCACTTTACAGAAAAATAGTAAAAATGAAATAGTGTTCTTAGACTAAAATGCATAAAAAAAAAGTATATATATATGTATATATACATAGACATGTACATACACACATACATACATACACACAAAACATTACACACCCATATATAAGGCAAAAGTATAAAAAAAAAGGGAAAAAAAAATTGCAAACATACATATATAGGGTAAAAACATAAAAATACGTAACATTTAAGTGAAATATGTGAAAGATATAAAGAAAAATATATACATATCAATGTACACACTAATGAAAGCCTTTTCTAAAATCCCTCCCCCTTTTACATGCTACTTCCTGGACTAAACAATTACTAAAATGTATCTCCCTCCCCCCCAGTTCTTCTCTGATGACTTCTCTTGAGTGGCGTTTCGGGCTAGTTGACGATGGTTGTTGAAAGTTCTTTTTACATGATGCTTGATGTTTTAACAGTTCTATGGTCGAATTATGGATCTGGACGGCTTGCTGGATGATGGTCGGCGGTAGTTGGTTCTTGATTACAGGCTTCTTGAGGAATAAACAATTTTATGGTCGAATCGGGGTTGCTGTCTGTCTTCGGGTGGGGATCGCGAGGGTGCTGAAAAGAAAGGCCTTCATTAGTCTCCCCCTCCCCTCCCCTTTTTGTGTTCCTACTCCCTCTTTCCCTGTCCTCCCTTTGTCTTTTGACTGCAGGCCCCCATGGTCCCGGCATATGGCCCTGTCCCTCGGCCGTAACTTTGGTCGTCCCCCCCTCGTCACTCTCTCAACAAGGGGAGGGAACTTCCAGAGCACAGGGTCGGGGCTTTGTCCCCCTGACCCCCACACCTGCTAGATCAGAGAGGCCGGTTTCCCGGCCTCTCCGCCCCAGCAGGCTGCCTGGGCTGTGGCTGTGGAGCGGGTCCGGCGGGGGCACCGCTGTCATCGACCGAGGCCTTGGGGGCAGTGTATGCGGCAGTCTTATGTTTGGTTGTGCGTATACATTCGTGTTATTTGTAGGTGTCCCCATTATACTAGTTTATGTAAATGGTTCCCGGGCCGAGACAAGCGGCCCTGCTCTTCCCGAGCTTTCAGCCGCGTCCAGTGGGCCCCTCCCCTCCACCCATCTGCTGAAGGGGCGGGCCCACCTGAACGCCCATCTGCGGGGGCGCCGCTTACGCCTGTACTCGCGCCACGTCGCCATTGCTGTTGTGGTGTATGCTACTTGGTATCGTATTTTATGTTATGTGGGAGTGCCAGAGAGGGCCACAGAAATCCCCGCGCCCCCGGCGCGCACCCGACCCACGTCCCACCGCTGCCTCACGGCCCCCGAGGTGCCCGCTGCTCGCCCCTTGTGGCCAAGGAGCCGCAGCGGGCACTGCATGTCTTAATGACAGCCCCATCTGGCCGGAGAAGACAGCGGCAAACCGCGGGCCCAGCCCGCACCCCGAGCGCGGGAACCCCCAGGGCCCCCAACACTACCTGGTGTGTAGCAGTTAATGTTTGAAGGTGGCCGCGAACCTCCCCAGATGGCCCTGCTCTTGGCATTGGGTTGCCAATGTGCTGGAGCTCGAGTACCTCCACTCCATGGTGAGGGGCTATTCACCGTTGCCTCACCCCTTCCCCGTACCTTACCCATCAGTACGGGGTTTTGGAGGGTAGCGTGGGCGGGGGCACCGCTGCATGGGGGAGTATTCCCGGGTTTCACCTTCCTGTTGTTGTGCAAGTGAGTGTGTCTGTGTGTTTGTGAGTTCCCTTCCCCCATCCCTCCCATCCCTTCCCTCTTCCCTGTGCGCCAGGAAGTGCCTGGGTACGTGTTGCGTGTCGGAAGGTGCAGAGCACTTTGCACCTGTGGTGCGGGCGGGGACGCTCACCGATTATTGCACTGTGCCCGCTTTTTCCGACAGGCAATCACTTTTTTGTTATGTTAGCCCTCTTCGTTCTAATGTGCCTAATTTTGCCCCAATGAGATTTAACATTTCTCCAATTAGTTTAAGAATTTTTTGGTTTTTTAGAATGTTAATTTTATCTTTATCCGTGACAGTGGTCACTTTGCCGGGCAGTAAACTGTACACTTGTTCCGCGAGAGGTTTTAGTAACGGGCATTCATTAAGATAGTGTAGGAAATTAACGCACTGCCTCCCGCAGAAGCAGTTTTGGTCGGGAGACAGTTTCACTCTATAGAGGTAATAAGGCAGCCTGCCATGATTGGTGACGACCTGTGAGACGTAAAAGTTTGCTGGAAAATTGTCTGGTATATCGTATATACTAGGGATCCATGTACTCAATTCGGAGTTTTGCCCCTCCTCTTTCCATCGCTGATCCCATTCTTTAAAGAGTTGAATTTTGATTTCTTTTTTGACATAGTTTTTTCCCATGGGTAACGCTACCGGTTCTCCATGAGTTCGCGCTTTATTTGCTAGTTTATCTGCCAATTCGTTTCCCTCCACCCCAGTGTGGCCTTTCACATGCATTAGATTTATACTATGCATTGTTCGAATTGTTTTAATGGTATTTTTTATGAGTTGAATTATTGGATGGTTATTGTGGGGGTTAGCTAGGGCCTGCAGTGTGAATAGGCTATCCGTGAATAGGTTAAAGGTTGTACTGTCTTGAAAAGTTGATATGTATTCCAGACTTTTCAGAATTGCAATCATTTCGGCATCATATATTGTTGCGTGCTTTTCTAATTTGTACATTGCTTTCTTATTTGATTTTTCCGATTCATCTAGTATTATAAATGCTGCTCCTACCGTCTGGTTACAGACAGATCCATCTGTGAAGATGTTAAGCTGAGCAGTGCTAGGCGCTTTTTTAAAGAATGATACAGCTGTTTTTTCTGCTGGGTGCGTATCCCAGGGATCTAACAGTTTTTGGATTTTTTCCGTCTCCCAGGTCGTCCCAAGTATAGTGTGGTCACTGTTTCTCTGAAACAAGTGAAATGACGCGGCTTCTTTATCGAGTGTTAGTGCTATTGGCATAATGTTTGAGAGAATATTAAGGTTGATATTGCTAACGGTGCGGTATGCTTTAGTTATTTTCAAAAGCGGCGTTCTTTGTACTGACTGTAGCTTTCTGGCCAAGTGCGAATTGTTTGTATTTTTCCACCATACGGGGGCGGCGTACGTAATTGCTCGTTCTATTCCTCTGATATAAATATCTCTGAATTGTGTCCCCTTGATGCCCCAGTTGACCCCGGAAAACATGCCGAGGGCTTGGGTGCTTTGAGTTATTTTAGATTTTAGATATTCTGCATGTGCCGTGAATGTCAGTTTTGAGTCGAAAACGATCCGAGGATTTTTAATGAATTTACATGGGTGAGGTTGCGACCTCCCAATTTAATGGTTGGTACTCGTTTTTTATACCGATCTCCAATATCAAGAACTTCGCACTTGGCCGGGTTAAAGCTTAGCCTTTTTTCATCTCCCCATTCTTTAATGAGGTTTAGCGCCCGGTTTGCATTGTCCTCCAGTTCTTTCCGTGATTTTCCCGTCACTATTAGGGTTACGTCGTCAGCAAATGCCTGAATCGTTATATTGTTTTCGAATCTTTGTTGAAGAAGATCCGCAATAACAACATTGAAAAGAAGTGGACTGAGGGGTGAACCTTGCGGACACCCCTTTACTGAGCCGATAGTAATTTTTTCGCTTTTTGTTAAGTAGGACATTTTGCGGTTTGTCAAAAAGTCTCGAACCAAATTGAAGAGATTTCTGGGGCAGTTGTTTTCTCTTAGTTTGTTAATTACTACTGGGGCCCAGAGCGAGTTGAAGGCTCCCTTGATGTCCAGAGACACCAAGATTGCCCCCTTCCCCTCCCTCTTGACGTCCTCCAGCTTAGTTTTAATTTTGTATAACGCGCTTACTGCAGACTTTCTGTGGGTAAAGCCAAATTGGTTTTCATGAAGTAGTTTTTTAGAGTGTAAGAAATGGTACAGCCTATTGTTAATTAATTTTTCTAATACTTTACCAAAGATGGAGTTCAGACAGATCGGTCTATATCCGGAGGGACTGTCAACCCTATCTGTCTTTTTGAGTAGTATTATTTTTCCTTCTTTCCATTCAGCGGGGAAATAACCAAATTCCAGACACGCGTTGAAAATTTTAAGAATGAGTTCTTTAAAGTTGTTGTAGATTGTTCTCAGAAAAAAGGTTTTGATATTATCAATTCCTGGTGCAGTTGTTAATTTCAATTTAGCCAAAACAGCATCTACCTCTGCTGAAGTGAATGGTATGTCATTGATTGTATTGATATCTTCGAGTGACATGAGACGCACGTTGGTCTCATGTGCCGAGTCGCTGTTTGGGTCATCTTCCTCGAATAGCGTTGTTAGGATAAAACGTACTGTCTCTGCCAGACTTTTCGTCCGAACTCCATCTGGTAACACGAGAGGACAAAGCACTACCGGGCGTTTAAGTTTGTTAAGTGCTATCTTATATGGGAGGGTAAAAACATTATTGCCGTGGATGACACCGCAGAACTCTTTAAAAGAGCTCTGCTTTGCATCCTTCATGTTGCTTTTATAATCTTTGTGCGCTTCATAATAGGATTTCTTAAAGTGATCTCTATTGTTATTTTTGCAATTTTGATATCTGCGCCGAAGCGCCCGAATTTTTTTACGTTCGATAGAAAGTTGTGGGGTCCACCATTTAACTTCATTTGCTCGATAGGTAACTACCTTGGAATATATTTCCGTAAGTTCTTCAATTTTGTCATAAAATGTTCTAATTACATGCTCTAAATGATTTTTGGAAACGAGAGGTCTGCTTGACATGTCCCTAAGCCAGCGGTCTTTTATTAATTTGTCTATAACCTTTATCTCGCCTGTTTTTGTTAGTCTTTTGACTGGGCACCTGTTTCCAAAAGCTGTAATTTTGATGTAGCTGTGGTCGCTGCCTGAAGGAGTGTCCAAAACCTCCCAATCCGAAATGTGTCCTAATGTGTGTCCATTTACAATAGTTAGATCAATCCAACTTTCGCCGTTTGGTGAGGCGAAAGTTGGGGACGAGTTTCTGTCATTGATCCACACTAATTCTAAGCTTATAAAAAGGTCTGCTAATTCCTCTCCTCTCTGGTCTAATCTCTGTCCCCCCAGCTGGGGTTTTTTGCGTTAAAGTCTCCTAATAATATAAGTTTTTCTGATTTGTGCTGTTCTACAACTTCGGTGATTATTTGCAGCCAAGGTGTTATGTCGTCATCAGGTGGTATATAAACGTTTGCTAGCACAAACGTTTGGTTTTCTGTGTTACAGCGGACCACTAGCAGATCTCTGGCTACGGTAATAGGAAATGCATCGCAAAAGTTATCGTGAATTACCATTGCGACTCTGGGTTTTGTTTCGAATGCTATGACATTATCTTTAATGCTGAATCCCACAACCTTGTTTTTAAGATAATAAGGTTCCTGAATGCAGGTGATGCGTTGTTTAATTTCCATAGTATCTATCTTAAGTTGGTCTATAGCTCTTATACAGTGATTTGCGTTAAACTGCAGCATATCTAGTCTGCTATCCGAGCTGGTCATAGTTAGTGTTTTAAGTTAATGTATGTTCAGCTCAAAAGCGGGAAAAGATAACTATTAAATTAGAGCTATGTACCTATGAATGCTTGGTAAAGGGGCTTTTAGTAGGCTAAATATCGTCGAGCCTGCTGCTCCTTCTCAAGCAGGGCCCTGCATGCCCTCGAACCAAACGAGTGTTCGACGTGAAATCTCGTCTTGAACTTCTCGTTGCTCCGAACGCATGCACGGCACCGCTTCTCAATTGCCCTGCAGTTGGCCCCGGGATGGTCGCCGGAACACTCCGTGCAGGCCGAGGACTGGCCTTTGCACACTTTAGCTGTGTGGCCATAAGTGCAACACTTCGTGCAGCGCCGGACGCCAAGGTTCTCATAAACGGGGCAGGACGTCCATCCGAGATACACCCTCCTCTTTTGGAGGAGGATGTCCCTCGTCTGGGGCCCAACCTCCAGAATATGGACCATGGTGCCCGATGCTGCCCGAAATGAGGCCACGACCTTGTTCTGGTCTTCGGTTGGGAGGTCGTTCATTGAGGTTAGGGTCTCAACTAGGTCCGCAGCTTCCACCCCTGGGTCAACCCCCACAATCTTGACCTGTTGGGCCCTTTTTTCTGAACGCCTAGTGGTAAGTTTAGACGCGGTTTCCGGATTGGCCTTAATGGCCTCCGCGAGGCGGTCTAGTCCGGCCGCGCTGTGACCGAGCACAATAGCCCCACCTCGCACTTGCTTGATCTCGACGCTGCCGAGTCCGAGGTCCGCGGGCTTGAAGGTAGTACGAAGCAGGTGGGAGATCCCTGCGCATGGCTCCACCCCAGCTGCTGGCTTGGTTGCCGGGTAGATCAAAAGGCTCTCCCTGGGGGCTGAGGGTGGCGTTGTTGGCTTGGGGGCCACGGGTGATTCCCCCCCCTGCTGCTGGCCGGCGGGGCTCGGGCTCGAAGTCGCCGGGTTCTGCTGGAGAACCTGCGAGAAGGTGCGGTGCAGGGCGGCAACACTCTCCGGCGTGGGGGAGGGGGCTGCGGGGGCTGGGGCCCTCTCCCTCTCTTCCTTGTACGCTTCCATTTTGGCAGCCAGTGCCGTGTTTTGGTTAATTAGATCCAGCGCAAAACCAAACAGACGGTCGTATGCACCGTGCAGGTTGGCCACGTGGGTCTTACTGGTTTTAGTGCCCACCGCTGGGATTGCCTCACTTATGTCATGGTACATGTCTACCAGAGTTGCGGCGTTTGGGTTAAGTTTGAATTTCATGTCTTTCGCCTGCGCGGCGAGCGTCTCTTGGGTCGGACGGGAATCCCCGTTGCCCTTCTCAGTTACCTCCTCCCCCGGGGGGGAGGCATCGCCAGTAGTGCTGCCCGGCATCTGAGCGTCTCAGATGACGGACAGGCTTGCAAAAGAAACGCCCAAAAGCAAAAATAAAAACAAAACCCAAAGCCCAGCCGAAACACAGTACCAAAATCCCCACCTACTCCTCACGACGAAAGAAAACAGTCTTTTGTGCCAAAAATGGCGCGGACAAAATCACAAAGGGACACCCCTAAAAATAATAGAAAATGGCCTAAAAATGGAAAAAAAAGACCAAACAAACGTACTCTCGCGACCGCGCTACTGCAGCGAGTACCGACCTTAGCCCTACACCGCCATTAGTGTTGAGAAAAAAAAATACTACATGGCGTTTTCGGTCGGAAGAAAAAAGGCGGGAAAAGTGCGCTTGAACAAAAAGCCTATAAATCAGCAAAAAACTGAAATACACAGACTGCACCACCTGGAAAGGGTGGTGCTAGGCTTTTAGTTACACAAGGGACCTAGCTTACCCGTCCAGCTAAGCGGAAAAACCCCCCGAAAAGAAATAAAAAGAAGTTAGCCTGCGTAGTTCAGGTTTCCTTTGTTTGCCCCCTGGCCTAGCAACCCACCACTTCGAACTCAAAGTAGCAGTAAAAATAAAAGTTTTGGCTCTACAAAAGAAACAAACACACGCTCGTGTTCGCGCAAACGCTGAGGAACACGGGCGTTAGATTTATACGTACGGGCGAGCGCTCAAACTCTGAGTTTGGACGCAAAATCAAGTGGCAACCATCTTGATTTTTTTTCCGCTAGGCCTAGCTCACACAAAAATGCTCAGAAATCAAAGAAAATTAACTTTAGAAAAACAAAAACACCTGGAAACTAATCGGTATACCTTTAGATACTAATACCTAACAGAATATACTTCCAGCTAGCCTGGAAATATAAAAATTATACTTAGCTTGGGGAGCTCATTCGATGCACGTCTTGCCCCCCTCGGCGCCTAGGGAAGCAGTCCAGTAGATAGGGACAAAATATATAGAGGAGACTTAAAAGAAAAGGGAAATTAAGTCAAGAAAAAACAAAAATAAAATTGCTCCTCCGCCCGCACCACAAAGGTATAGCAGGCATCCTAATATAAAAAATTACTTAAAAACCCCACCCCCCCGGGATCTACTGTTTTAGGCACAACCACAGCCAAGGGCACCGGCCCAGTCCATCAGCGACGTTTATTAAAAACTAGAAAAGAAAAAAAAAAAAAAAATTCTTTTTTAAATTTCCCCCAGAAGAGAAGCGCGCATGCTCCCGCTGTACAGAATGAAAAAGCCTATATATATTGGTTAAATATGATGAAGAGTAAAATAGTGAGCATGCTATCTACTTTACAGAAAAATAGTAAAAATGAAATAGTGTTCTTAGACTAAAAATGCATAAAAAAAAGTATATATATATGTATTTATACATAGACATGTACATACACACATACATACATACACA